TACCCCTTCGTCCCGTTTGTGAATATGGTCGCTGTGGATTTAATGTGGGAGAGTGTTAAATTCCGTGCAGCGAGGAAATGAGAAACGTCGGAGAGATAGCCGTTTTCTCTTGAAGAAGGGGATCATCAGCTCTTAACTAAGGTTGACGGGATTCCGCTTTCTGTAAAAATGCGTTGAGGTATMGTCATTTTCGGGCTCGCATTATGTCGGGTGTCGGTCATGGCTGGGTCGATAAGTCTTTGCCAATCGTTTCTGCATTGTGCACGACGTCGCCAGTTAGTGATTTGAAATTTCCCCAGATCATCTTCCACTTCATCCTTTTTTCTAAGTTTGCGTCGTCCTTGTCAACGTCGGCCGTGAGGGACAYCACATTGTAAATGTCCATATCGCCAATGAGTTCATCATTCCATTGAATCCGGTACTCCCCTTCGCCATGGGTAGTGGGCAAAAAATCCTTCGAAAAACTGCTCATCGCTATTTGTCATTGTCCATTCTTCCAGACCATACAGAAATATGTATATTATAAGTATGTGTGACTTATAACGCATTAATTTTTTTTGCGAAAAACGGCTCTACTTTTCAATTACCTGCTGAGCCCCCGGTCCTGGCCAGTACAAGTGTATATAACATAATCTCCCTCTTCCTTTAGCTGCTGTTTTTAAGGTATCCGATCCAAACGGGGTTAGATGCAAAAAATATCAGCCCTTATCTGTATAAAATCCGTATCAATTCCGGTATCGTAGAACTTTTGTGATTATAACTCTCTGACTCCGGTTGCTACAAGATTTTTTCAAGCGATTTGRAAATGTTTAAATGGCAAAATGCCGCATAATATCAAAAGGGCGTGAAATAGGCGGGAAATGATTTAAGAATAAGAAATATAAAATCTGTTTAAAAATGAATTTTTCACCTTCGTTTTCTGGGGCGTTCCACTAGCCCACTACCTAATATTTTAGACGTTCGACGCACTCGTGTCATTTGTATTTTGTATTATATATTTCTAATTATTATTTCTTTCCTATTACTTCATATACTTTAGATACCCGAGGATGCGCCTGTTGGCACTTTAGTTCACACTCTCATCGCACTCGATCCAGATGTGCCCACCTACAGCGCTCTGGAATTCGCAGGCACAGATGTTGTCGCCATCGATAAGGACGGCAAAGAGGTGCCAAATAGTGAACAGTTCAAAGAATACTTTACCATAAATCGCAAGGGTCAGGTGATCGTGAATAAGGCGCTGGATCGCGATCTCTTTGCGGTAATGCAATGAATAAATATTAGAGAATTTTTATGATAATATGCCTTAATTTTTTATTTCATTCAGGTCATAAGAATTAGCGTACTTGTTACGGACAGCACGGCGCCCACTGTGCAACAAGGACGTGGTTTGCTCAACATACAAATCACCGATGTCAACAAAACACCACCGGTAAGTCAAATTACCGGAATTCGGAGTCGTAATAGTTTATCACGTTTTGATTTTTAATTTTTGCACTTTTTTAATCTTTCATACGCGTGCCATTTTAAATGAAACTTTCTTTTTTCAAAAACAATTCCTTTTCATCTGCTGCTATGTCCGAATCGGTTTCTTCTATATGATACATAAGACTTTGATGTAGATCCGTGTACATGTTACTAGAAAGAATTGTTGTTGTAATATAAACATTCATATATAAAAGCATGTATGTTGCTGATAACTTACAGCGCCGCTATGCCAACGGTTATTTGTATTATATTTTTCGCCACGAATATACTGAATAGCGGTATTTTGCATGGCAAGCAGTAGCGCACCGTTACACCACCGATTATTACCTCTAAAGTGGTGAATATTATATTCTCCACGAATTGCGCGTAAATTGATGGAACTAAAAGATCGCCAAAATCCTCCGCTAAAATGGGAAATCTATGCAATGAAATATATGACATTTGACAGTTATAGGAATGTATGCAAACATTATAGGATTATATGCAAAGAAGTATGTATCATTAAAGGTTATGGAACAATTGTTATAGAATGCTTTCTTTCTTTGAAGAAATTTGGTACAAAATTTAAAAAAAAAAAGATCGGTTATTTATAGCACTTCCTGGATCTATCGCATAAATAGCCAGCTTATATAAACGAATCTGAGTGTTTTGTGGAATTTTCGCATAATATCTGTGTTTCTGTATAAGAAAATCGGTTTCTGCAACACAAATTTACCAAGAAACAGGGTCTAATATCGCAGTCGCAAAATGACTCATGATTATTAGATACTGAGCGATTACTTGTGGACCTAAGAATACCTCGATGAGGCAGTAAATAGAAATACTATATTCCACACTATTTGCTGAATACATTTTTTTCCTCTAAGAAGCTGTTCATTTATCGGAGCAGATATCGGACCACTATTGCATATAGCTGTCATATAAACTGAACTTTCCAAACAAGTTCTATGGAAAACTTTTTAATTTCACTAGTCATCTGAGTTAAATTTAGCATGGCTCATTATCCCCGGCTACGCTATAAACTCCGAACATTTCGATCAAATCGGACTACTATAGCATATAGCTGTCATATTTTTTTTATCTGAGAAGATATCTTCACAAATTTTGACATGGCTTATTCTCTAAGGCTATGCTATAATCTCTGAACAAATTGTTCAGATCGGTCCACTAAAACCTATAGCTGCCATACAAACTGAACTATCAAAATCCATGTTCTTCTATCAATTATTTATTTGTGAAGGATGTTAGCTTCATTTCAGCCGAAGTTAATGCTTTTCTGTGTTAATTGGAATTTCATAGACACGTATACTCACAACGCTATAATGTTGGCCGCAAGCCCCACATAACCAAAAATAAATTTCGCTAAAATGATCAGTGATACAAATATGATGTGCAAATGCAATAATAAAGTATTGCAACAGGAATTTTCAAGCGCTTTATTAATCTGCAAACAAAAATATTAAAAAAAAAAAAAACATTATCATAATAAACTTTCGGCAAACTTCACTCACAGTGCGCAGATCCAAGCCAAGTTTACGTGGACTTAATGTGGCCGCTTTATACAATATAGTGAAAACGTTGACAAATAAGATTTTGAATTTTCCATATGGTATATCTGATGCTTCAATTGCCGGTATAATAACGGAGTTCATGCTTTGAACAGAATTTCTTTGAAATTGAAATAAAATAATAATAATTTTGTAATAGAATTTCTATTTTATTTTGGTTCCTTTTTCACTTTGACACAAGCACAAATCTACAGTGTTGTGTTGCGTGCATTTACTATAAAACATTTGTAAAATAAACTTTGATTTGTAATTAAATTTAAATTTAAATTTCCAGAAATTCAATCCACCATGGACTGCCGAAAACCCTGTAATCAAGCTACAAATGATCGAGGAGCAACCAATCGGCTCAGTTTTGACAATACTACAAGCTTATGACGATGACTCCACTATTGGTGAATATAACATAACACCAAATGCATATTTCACCATCAACAAGACGAGCGGTGTGATCACCTCAACAGCGCGCATTGACTATGAAACACTGAAAGAGGTGAAATTCATTGCCACAGTGAGCGATACCGGTGTACCGTCACTCACATCGACCGCTGAAGTCACCGTCGATATCATCAATTTGAACGACAACGAGCCACACTTTAGCCAAACTGAGTATCATTTCAATGTGACGGAGAATTCACCGCGCGGCACAGTTGCCGGCAAAGTGGAGGCCTTCGATGCTGATATTGGCACCTTCGGCGAAATAACTTATACGCTAATTGGCGAGTATAATAAATATTTCAGCATTGATGCATACACCGGCAGCATAATGGTGGCCGACGCAACGATACTCGATCGTGAGAAGATTAGCGAAATCACCTTGACGGCGGTGGCGCAGGACAAAGCGCCGACTACGGTGCAGAAATCGGCAACAGCGGCGGTAAAGACATACATTATATAATATTTATAAATATTTTCTGCATTTATGTAATGCATTTTTGTTGCTACGTTCATTGCAGATTCATATCAACGTGCTGGATGTCAATGATAATGCACCGATTTTCACACAAACTCAATACACCACAACGCTGGCTGAGAATGCCGCCGTTAGTCCGCCGGCTGCATTGCTGCAAGTGAAGGCGCTCGATGCGGATGAGGGTATATTCGGCGATGTGCGTTATTTCATTACCGATGGCAATGAGCAGGGACTCTTCCGGCTGGACGCGCAAACCGGCATTATCTATCCAGCGCAAAGCTTGAGTGGCAAGAAGGGTGTGTATGCATTGGAGGTTGTCGCACGTGATACACAGGGCTCGGGCACAATGGAGAGTCGCACGCGAGTGCTGATCACAGTAATGGGTGTGAATCATTATCGGCCGGTATTCGTGATACCAGCGCTGTCGAATGCCACCATCGAGATACCCGGTGTAAGTGTAGATTTTTCATTTTAATATATGTATGGCGCTATATTACATACTCTTCCGCCTCTTGTTTGTTTTTAGGATATTGTACAACAAGATTATCTGCTGATAACCGTTAAGGCTACCGACAATGACACCGATGAGAATGGCGTGCTCTCCTATCATTTACAAGTGAACAATGAGAATGTGCAGGAGACCGATGAGTTCCGCATCGATGCAGCAACCGGTGAATTGCGCACGAAGCGCGAGTTGAATCGCAAGGAGCGCGCAAAGTGCGTAAATAMGTGTTTTAAATCACCTCTTGGTTCTTCTATTAAATATTATCTTAATTTTTATTCCAATTTTTACACTCAGCTATGACATCATTTTGGTGGCTCGTGATGCTGGCAATCCCACACCATTTGAAACATTACGCTTCCTTAGCATTAGTATTGTTGACGCCAATGAAAATCGTCCYGAATTTCCGGATGCTGCAAATCCTTATAAAATCTCGATCAAGGAGAATAGTGGCCGCGATGTCAAGATTGGACGCATACAGGCTACGGCGCGTAGCAAACACAATAGGGATGTCTATTACTATTTGTTGTTGGGCAATGAAGATAATGCTTTTGTTGTGGATAAAGCAACTGGCGATATTTACACGAACAAGAGTTTGGACAGGTGAGTCACAACTTGTTTACTCTTGCAACATCACCGAAAGGTTGTTTGTAACACATAAAACTAATCAAGATAGATATCGTTATATTTATACATGTAAATAATCAAGATGACGATTCGTGTCGAATACCGAGTAATTGTCTGTCCAACCGTCTGATAATCCGTGCAGGCTGCGAAAGATGGAGGACTAATGAAAACTCCGGAAATCTATTCGTCTTGCCACCCTGAACAGTTCGATATGTTATATTTCTATTAGTTTTAGGTGTCACAACAACCGTTAGGTCAATTTGTTTTGTGTATATGTATTTTCATATTTACATTAATCCCAATTTGTTTTGAATTTTCAGAGAGGATACCGATTTCTACACACTTTACATACTTGCAAGTATCAAGTCAGACTTACATATATCGGAAGAGGAGCGCGCTTCATTTTCAATAAAAAGCCTTGAACGTGACAATACGGTGGCGAAAGTGTGGATAACGGTACTCGATGAAAATGACAACGCGCCAATATTCGAAAAAGAGGTAATTATAAACAATTTAAATTAATAATCACTTGAACAAGTGCTAAAATCTGACGATTGCAGGTCTACTATGCCGGCGTCAACGCCAAGGCGGCCGTTAACAGTGTCATAACCGTTGTAAATGCTACCGATGCGGATGAAGGCAARAAYGCCAAAATCGAGTATATGATTGTTGCTTCGAATCTTTACAAATTTGGCGCCACCAAGGCAACAGGTTCCATAGTGCCAAGTCCATTCTGTAAGTACAGTGATTATTATTCAATTTTAATCATGAAGTTTTAGAGGTTACATTTCCTTTAGAAAAAATATTGATTTTTGCGTTTATTTCACTTGTATTATATATCTTTGTGTACGCAGCAATTTCCGCCGATGGCCGCATCACTACCGCCGCTTTCATGGCTGAATACAATCAAGATCGCTTTGAGCTGGAAGTRATTGCCAAAGAATTGGAGCAACCACAGCAAAGCACACGTACCAAAGTCTATGTATGGGTATTTGACTCCACGCAATTAGTGCGTGTGATACTCTCACGTCCGCCCGAGGAGGTGCATCAAGAGCAGGAGGAAATCATCGCTGAATTGCGCAATGCAACKCAACATCGCATCATTGTCGATGAGATACGCTATCACGTGGATGCCATGGGCCGCATACGCATGGATTGGTGTGATTTATTTTTCCATGCTGTCGAGCCGCATACGCAACAAATCGCCGCTGTCGATGAAATATTAAAAGTTATCGATGCGAATTATGATTACCTGCGGGTGAGTGGGGGTGATGCCTTGATGTTTTCTGTATGGTAAAATATATTTTTTGTTTCGTACACTATTTTTGCCTTTAGGACTATTATGCYGGTTTTGCTATTGAGAATGTTGTGCCCGCTTATATCACTATCGTGCAAGATGAATTTGATTTGGCGGTGGCTGGTTTGGTGGCTTTGGTCATTGTGCTCTTTGTGGGCGTCATCAGTTTTGTTGTGCTGTGTTGTTGTCTCAAGCATTGGTGAGGCAGTTGTWTAATATTTTATTATTTATACGAAAGGTTTTATATTTATTTTTTCTTTAGGAACCTTTCCGTGCCCGTAGAAAATCGCCGCAAAGAGGCTTTAATTAAGAAACAAATAATAGAGGACTTGAMTACCACAGAGAATCCTTTGTGGATAGAACAGTAAGCGTATTGAGAAACTTTCTTTAAGAATAAAAATTTAATCATGATTTTTTTTAACTTTTATTTGCAGAAAACTCAAACTCTACGAGGAGCAAGAGTTGACGATGCAGGTCTTCTCTGAACCCGACCATATTTCGAACTCGGATTCACCAGTAAGTGTTGTTTAGCATTCGATGATTGATGTTGTTGTTGTTGTTGTTGTTTAAGAAATATGAAACAAACATGACATATCACGCGTGAGTTGTGTAAAGCTGTAATGTAATTWTTTGTTCAATATTGTCTGGCATTTCATCATGGTAAGTCTTTCCAGCCTGAACAAATCGTTCAACTTAAGTAATACAAAAATGATGCCGGTGAGAACGTAACCGTCAATTGCAATGTTATTGCACCTTCGGACTCCGGCCCAGAACACGCTCAGGATTATAACCCTTAGTCAGCAGAATTCTCTTTCTGTTCTTCGATAGAAATAAAGGAAGGCAAGATAAAATATTTTTCACATGTCAGCATTTTGATTTGTYGGTGTTTTGATTTGTCGGTATTTTGATTTAGCTGCATATTTAAATTTTGTCGGTATTTTGAACTTCGGTATTTTAAGTGTATCCCATTAAGAGAACATTTTGTTGAGAAGATAATTTTACGTTTTTGGCTGGTCGATTGGTCACTAAGATCGTGTGATATTACACGGTAAGACTTTTTTCTGYGGGAATATGTAAAGTCTAAWGTCTATGCGTACAATCCCACTTTGATTCAGGCCTTGGAGCAAAACATCAYGCGTGTCATTTGCCATTGACCAGTCTTAATGCTCGAACAAATTATCGAAAATTGAGCTGAACGGATGGACCATCTGAGATATAGSCGCGACCAATATTTGAAAGAGATAATCTTCTAAAAATAAATGCCAAAGAATATTCTTTCGAATGATGATAAACATTTCCCGATAAAAGTATTCAAAAAAGTAGAGAATCTCGAAATGGTGCACCCTATCTAGTTTTAGCTTTCTTTACTCTGCCTTTAATTCAATTCTAATATTTATTTAACGGAAGTATTTCGTAYATTCTTTCAGGCTCAGCTGGAGCACCATGTGCCACATCATAGTGTTGTTGACAACACCTATGCCACAATACAGCCACGTAACGGTAATCACAGCAATCACGGCTTGAACAGCACAAGTGTGCATAATGCTGACAATGTACTTGGTGTCAATATGAGCAATAGCAATGCGCTGGGACGTGTTCACGATGCACATATTAATGAATTTGCCGATTATGCGACGTTGCGCAACAATCGAGCGCCATCGGTGAGTTGCAATTTAACTASCATTAGTTGTGGTTATGTTTAAGCATGTTAGAAGACCTTAAATTTCAACAAGTTTTATGATCAAAAAAAGTTTTCACCCAACGGCTGTTTTTGTCACACTTGGCACTTGCCTTATTGGCCTTTAATCTCSTGATTTTTACATTCCCTCTAATCACCAAATTTCTTATATTTGCAGATGTATGAATTCACTGGGTCCACTTTCCAAGCGCCCATACGTGAGGGAGACGATGCTGTGGCCGAGCTCATTTAAAATTCAACCCATGCCATGTGTAGAAGAACTGTGTATATGTAGATCGTGTAAACGCTGGCATTTACAGTTAAAATAATTACTTTTAAGTTATTTTGTAAATTACCAATTGGCATACAATATTGCTACCGAACAACTTGACACATTACGAGCAAGATATTGCACATTCAAGCAAAATATGAATAGAAAAATAATTTTTGCAAGCAAAAATACTAACTAACTAAAAGAAAAACATTAACAAAAACACTGGTGATGGCCCCGGGTATGTCAAAAATGTGGTAGTATGGTAGTTATATAAGAGAGTTCGAAAATATATACTAATTAGTAATTATTTACACATACTTTAAATCATAACATTCACTTTTATTTAAAAAGTAGTAGGAAAGTATGTATTATGTAAATGTATGTATGTAAGTAACATAAAAAATACTCAAGTCAGCTCAGTTGCTCAAAAATACAGCATTGACTACATACTGAGCAAACATTTATTAGCTAAGTGAAGAATTCGAATATGCAAATGAACAAATGAGCTAAAAAATAAATAAAAATAATAAAATTAATATTATAAAAGCTACAAAAGTATATAAAAATGAGACAATAAGCGAAAAGTAGATATTGCAACGAAAGAACTAAACTAAACAATTATAATGTATACACATACATATATAAATACCTGAATAATTTTTTTGTTTAAAAATTTTTTAATTTTACTTTAAATAAACATTTTTTGTTTAGTTTAATATATACATACATATGTATATATAATATTTTTTTTAATTTTTACATAGCTTATTTTTTTTTTTTTTCTTATCTGTATTGAGTAACAAATATGGAAAAAATTTTTTTGTTATTTTAGTGTATTCTCTATGAATTTTTATACATAAACGTATAAACTTCTTATATACGAAACTACTACTACTAATGTAGTGTAATTAGTTAGAATAATTTGTTTTAGTTAACTCAATAAATTACTTTTGTGCTAAGTAAAATTCAAATAATGCTAAAAATTATATTACACTATGTAAAAAAACAAAAGTGAACACAAAAATATAATTTTAAAACTATAAACGAAATTTAATTATTTTTATTCAAAAATTTAACTTTCAACGAAGAAAAATTTAATTTAATATCAATTTGGTTTCATTAGTTTGATTATTTTTCAGCTTCACTTTTTTTTTTGTAATTATTGTATTACAATTATAACTAATCGGGTTTAACCCCAAAATATTTGGCAGCTTATACTAATAAATTATAAATTATATTTTTTTTTTAACTAAAAAACAATTTTCCTAATTTTTAATACAAAACAAATAAAAGAATAATTTTAAATACTACTTTGCCAAACAGTAGATACTAAATATGTGTAAAAACAGTATTGTGCTGACAGAAAAGTATTTTTATAGCAACTTTTATTTTGTTCTTAAAAATAGATTTATTTAATTATCCCTATTAAAATTCATAATTACTATCTTTTTTTTTTTTTTTTGAATCTAGCATAATTTTAATTTAAATATGCGCCGTTCTTGCTCAATGTAACTTCTCTTCAAGAGTATTGTCAAACACACAAACGTACATCAATAAAAAGTATACATACATATATACATAAGTATATCCATTATTTATTTAGTATATTTAGGCTTACTAACAAATAAATGTTACTTGTATTGAAATACTTATACATGTAAACAAGAAATAAAAAGAAAATCAAATTATATGACTATGTATGTATGTAATTTAAAGACTAAAGCAAATTATGAAATAAWAAATATGCGTGAAATTATTAAACATAAAGTATCACTTTGTATAAGTTGCTGCGGTAAATATGAAAATAAATCGAATGTATTTATTTAAAGAATGATCAACGGTGTTTATATATTTTTGCTAATATTGAATTGCAATATTTGTATATTTCCATTTACAGATGTATAGAATTCTTCTACAACGGTATGATTTTAGATAACTTTTTATTTTGTTTTCATATTCCATCCCAAGTGCAGAAAAGTCGCTATGCACTTGGTACGTCAATGGTCTGCGTGAGCGCCCATGCATCCGTTGCCAACCCTTGCATATCGAATGATAGGCACCCTTTCGAAGGTTAAGTGAAGTAGCTCCGAATACGCGAGGACTCTCTGTATGTGACCTCCAAACACTTTATCTTTTCCTCGTTCACCACAAGAAGAACCTATTTCGCTTCTTTTTCCAAGCTGGAAAAAGCTGAGCTGACGGATYTGTTGTTAAGGCCTGATATGTCAAATTCATTTGTATTAATATCTTAAGTTAAAGAATTAAGTAAAATTTTGATATTATTATTTATAAAATATTTCGAATTTTTAATTTTAACGTATGAATAACAATATGTTATTGATAACTATCGATACATGAGAAAGATATCGATCCACTGAACACTTAAACCAAACACAAAACACTCTTACTTAAGTAACCGTAGAACCGCTAACAGGTCAATAATAGTTTTCATTCTAGAATTTAGCWATAAAAATTCAATATTTATGAAATAACGATATATAAATTAATAATTATGCAAGCGTATCGSTAATATTCCAATCTAGAATTTTTACTGCAAATTTTGCTTTGTCAAATGCAACCTTGTGTTGTTGTTAGCTTCTGACAACAACAATCTATTACAATTTCAGCTGTAAACAGCCGGCTGTCAACATCAACACAAGTTCGWCTCCTATTGCAAAAATAAWTTACCTTATTTCGGTTTTGTTTATTTTCATATAAAATAAGAAATAAAAAATGAAGCAAAAACGTAAGCATTCAGAAATGTTGGACGCAAATAGCAAGCAAAATCCACATACCGTGACAGTGTCACAAATAAGCGCCGATATTATATGGCAGGTATGTTTTGATGCAACAATTATTTTAAACGTTTACAAACCTTATGTGCATATTTTATAGCTAGCGTCACAATACTGGTCCCCCGAGACGCCAGCAGACGAACTCTTGCCATACAATGGCAATATTATCGAAGATATATATAGTCGTGAAATTTTGGATCACAAATCGGCGACGCGTCGCATTATGATGCTGGAATTCAGTCAGTACTTGGAAAAATATTTGTGGCCTAATTATAAACGTGAAACAGCCACGCATGCTCATCTAATGTCCATTGTGGCTATGGTYAATGAAAAGTTTCGCGAACGAGTAGAAGTTTGGCCACTATTCGAAGCTGTACCGGAAGAGTTTCCCGCTTTCTTTAGACACGTGCTGGAAACATGCTTACCAACGGATGATAGTAGAGGCAGACACGCGACAATGCGTGAAAAAACTGCATTACTTATATTTCTCAATCACTGTTTTAATAGCATGGAAATCGAGTTGTGTCGCGAGCAGGCAAAACGTTTAGTTTCGCTGTCAATGTGGAGTTGTCTGCAGCCAAGTAAGTACAAATATAATTGGTTTCTATTGTAGCAAAAACTAATATTTTGTATTTTTGACATTCTGTGAAGAGCGTTTAGAGCAAGAGCTGCGTGAAGTGCCGGAATGGCGTAAATTTTGGCGTCGTTTGCAAAAGAAAGAAAAGGGCAATGCAAAACCGGAAGTTGAATGGGAAAGACATTTTTTGCAGGCAAGTTTTGACTGAAAATTTGTATTTTGCAACATTTTGTTAAACAACATTAATTTTGCAGAATTTAATCATACAATTTTTRCGTATATTGGACACCATACCGTTAGAGGATGATGTTCAACCAAATGTTGTTGCATATTGTGAACGTTTTTTAGAATTTATTATCGATTTGGAAGCACTACTACCTACACGGCGCTTCTTTAATACGGTATTGGATGATACCCACCTGTTGGTGCGCGCACAAATCTGTAATTTAGTGCAACGCGAAGAGGGAAAGCTGTTCGGTCAGGTAAGTCATAAGTGCATTTCTAATTAGTGAAATTTTTCTAAAGAGGATATTGTTAGTCACAGTTGTCACAGTTATCTAGTCCCCATTAGGATGGGAAGGTTTAGATAAGCTGTAATCGAAGTCTTCCAACGGTAGCCYCCGTTAGAAACTGCTTTGGGAGGAGTTAATTTAAACAACGAACAAAATCATATTTAAAAATCGTATTTTTAATAATGAAATTAGATTGCTAACTACTTCTTCTTCTTCTTGATTGGCAATAGATACCGCTTACGCGATTATATCCGAGTTAACAACAGCGCGCCAGTCGTTTCTTCTTTTCGCTACGTGGCGCCAATTAGATATTCCAAGTGAAGCCAGGTCCTTCTCCACTTGGTCCTTCCAACGGAGTGGAGGTCTTCCTCTTCCTCTGCTTCCCCCGGCGGGTACTGCGTCGAATACTTTCAGAGCTGGAGTGCTTTCGTCCATCCGGACAACATGACCTAGCCAGCGTAGCCGCTGTCTTTTAATTCGCTGAACTATGTCAATGTCGTCGTTGCTAACTACCTCATCACAATAATAGTGAGAGGTAATCATACTGCTGATTTCCCTTGTTCACTATTGTTGTTTTTGCTTGTGTAATAGTAGAAACAAATTTCTTAGAGTTTTCAGTAGTTGTTGTTGTAGTAGTAAAAACATTCCTGAAGTAATATGGAGCAATGCTGTCGATTTGATAGTCTTTGGACGGACAGGCGTGTATTTTCCCGTTACATAGATCCGAATGCCGTGGGGAGAGCGGATAGTTTTCAGCCGTGACCTATAGTGAAAACATGCTTACTTTTTCTTACCCATATTACTTAACCTCAAATTTTTAATTATAATAATAACAACAAAAATGTAAGCCGAATTATGGAGTCATGTGTAGAAGTTCCCCAAGTGAGGAAGGTTCTCTGATCGCCATTCACTTGTGCGCTGGGTTTGGGACCCACCACGTAGAAAACGCCTCCAATAAAAAACGAATATAATCGCCTAAGAGGTGTCGTTTCCCACGACAGTCGGGTCTACGAAAACCGACACGGACCCGAATTTTTATCCGGCCAAGGACTGTTAACTCGGCAGAATTCTGCCGTTACAACAACAACAACAGGTGTCTACGCCGGTAAAGAAGAAGAAGAAGACGAATTATTTGTCAATCCTTTTGCCGCCTTCAAACTGTTTAATTATGCAAGAAATATTCGGCAGTTAACTTGTTGCTTAATTTTATTAGTATTACTTAAATTACTTTAGTTTAAAGTCTTCACAAATAATTATAAAATTATTTTAATTTCGAGAAACACTAATAATTTCAATGCTTAAGTACACTTCTTAGGCGTTCAATGAGTTATCTGCATGAAGTTTCGAAATTCGAATATCGCGTACACTGTAATACAGTTATAAAAGTACTAAAAGTAATGAGAGTTCAGTTATAATTGGTATAGTGTTGTACAATTGTATTGATTTACTCCACATCTTACAACTAAGTATTTGATCAGACTCCAGAGTTTAACAGCAAAACACCAATACACACAAATTTCCAAGGCATTCCATTGAATCCATTTACACCGACGTGTGTCGGTACACAGTCACTGGCACAATTGGTATGCCATCGGGRAATATACACGTTGACTGCTGCGCCAACRTTGTTAGCGTTTGTTTGGGCGCGTGCTTAACGCGCGCCTCATCTCAGTAATCATTACAATTCATATAATGCATTTCATCGCCCCAATCATTGGCCGATGGCGGTTCATTATAGCAGCATGAYTTTTTCAACAGGAATGTAACGTGTTTTTGACGCAGTACACATATGTAGAGTAGCAGCGGCGCCTGCGCAGCATTGACTAGTATGTGCGCGTAGAGTAGGCCTTCGTACGGCATTAGCGAGAGCACAAAGAAGAGCCACGCAATCGACATGATTAGCAGCATCCACGAAAACATAATGAAACTGCAAAGAAAAATTTTTGTTATTTAATATATATTTGTACATCAAACGCATCATGCTTTCACTCACTTCGCACGCAGCTTGTGTTGTATGCGTCCATAGACATTTCTGCGATTGATCAACTTCAATGTGGTCACATAAAAGAATATATTGATTAGTATTATGCACGCGATGGGCGCAAAAAATATCCAAATGCCCAGCCAACCGATTGTCTGCTGATCGCCGATAACATATTGTTGCTTATACGAATCGGCGTCGAGAAAGAAATGCGCAAATACCGCCATAGCGGCCATCAACGCAGTCAGACCCCAAGCATATGCGGAATAATAGCAATATTTGCGTCCATCGGTGACGCGCAGGAAGACGTTGCGTGAACGGAACGTCTTCCAAATGTAATAACCGAAGCTATTAAGCCAAAAGAAGGCGCCCAGCAAGCTGATGTACAGTATAATATCTGTAAAAAAATAAAAATAATAAAAAATAGAAAAATAGTTTGTTGAAGTATGTTAGAAGTGCGTAAGCTTGTGTATTAGTTACCCGCCACAATGAAGCTGACGTGGTTCGAGAACTCCGTGAAGATGCGCACAAAGTCCGCCGCCTGCACCGTCATCATACACACCGCTATTGTCGTTATAATGTTGCCAACCAGATCACTGTTGTGTGTGAAAATGACAAATAATCAATGCATTTTTTGTTGCTTCTTTATATTTTACTTACCGCAATGTGGGCAGTATAAAGTAGATAATCGATATGAGCAATAAAAGTATCAAGGATATGCCATGCAATATGGGATTTATTACTTTACGCAGTAAAAATGTTGTATCCGACCATTTAATTTCGCGTTTCGCCAAACAAATGTTCGCATAGAGCACTTGTTTATGCTGACCCGTTGTAGAAATGGCCTAGAAATAAGTGAAAAGCGAGAAAATTTAGAATTAACAAAAGTATGTTTGTAAAATTCCTATATAATTAAATTTTAAACTAATCTAACCTAACATTTCAAGTTGTCATAGTTTCATTAGCATTGTAAACAATTCGTAATTTTCACAACCGTTTTACTTACCTTATCTATGCAATATTGCCCTGCCGCATAATCATGAAAGAGTGACTTCCGTTCATCATCCAAATCTGCATCGTAGTCTGTGTGCTCATAGAGCTCATCCTCTTCCTCATTAGAGTTGGTGTAGTGGCGTAATTTGCCATCGTCTAAAAGCACCAGCTGATCAGCGCTCTGCAGAAAACAAATATATACTTATATATATACATATATGCGTGTGCGAAAAAATATGTGGTCGTTGCCCCACTGTAACTCCACTCCAAACACTCAATTACTTAAGTATTCAATTTCATAACAATGAATGGCTAGCGCATAGCATACTACATATAGTATGTAAAGTGTTAGCGTATACTTACACCTTGATAATGATATATGGGCCATGACTGCATCGTGCCACAAGCCGGTATGCCAATAACAAACTTGAATTTCACCGGCACATTGTGTATACCCTGATAGTTGGTGAACATGGGTTGGAAGTACTCTGCAAGTGTAGAAGCATAAGATGGCATGTGATGAAAAACTACATATATTTTCAAGTGTGTGTGTATATATATCTATGTTTGTTTATTTTTTGCACCGTCAAATATTTTAAGCTGTTAAACACCTTTTTAGCGAAAATTGAAAAAAAAGCTATTGAATTCGCACACATCACGCCTGTTTTGCTAGCCAAGTTATTTTGCTGTCGCGCCACAGGCATTTATTTTTTCGACCAAAATGGCAGTAGCTAGACAGTTATGCAGTAATATCGCTAATGCCGATCGTGGAAATTGCATTTATAAACAGTGACATAGAAAATTCAGTAGAAGATTTACGATTTTATGCACTTTTGTTTATGTACAGTGCGTGCACTAAATAATCAGACAATTTTTGATATTAAAAAATGATTTTTATCCGATCTAAGTAATTTCTTCTGYGATTTTAGCGTTGTCTTTTGGACAATTATTCGTGCCAAATTTCCTGAAGATATCTCCATAATTAAAAAGGCTTTCTATACAATTACTTGATTTTGATCGTTCAGTTTGTATGGCATCTATATGCTATAGTGATCCGATTTGAAAAAAAGTTTCGTGGATTATAGCATTGCCTTGACCAATAATCTATAACAAATTTCACAAAGGTATCTTGTTAATTAGAAAAGTTTTCTATGCAAAGGCTTGATTCTGACCGTTCATTTTGTATGGCGGCTATATGCCTGTCTCTTATACACATCTAGATGTGTATAAGAGACAGCCTCTAACTCGTCTGCCAAATGAGGAAGCAAACAATTACGGTATACAATATTGAAAATGAGCACAATAAACGGTTCAATGTGCGTTCTCATGCAATGGCCGAAGTATGCGCATATAAACATGTGTACTACTGTAGCCAGGACCAGCATGCGGCCAAATAAGCTGTCTGTCTACRTTTCATCAATTAAATTCATTTTCTTATTCCTGTTTTTTGTTTTATTGCTTTTGTTTTACATTTACAGCGAATTGCAATTGAAGCCAAAAACGAACTGCCTGATGAGTTGATTAATGGCTGCTGCTTTATTGTTGTTGCTTTTTTAGTTCTATTTCATTTTATTGTGCAATTGCATTGCTACTCCTTGGTTGGTGGGCATGAGGCAACGTCTCAACTCATGCCATCTCTTCATCGCTCATAGCTTTTCTTATCACTTGTTGTTGTTGTTGTTGTTGTTGTTGTTGTTGTTGTTGTGATGATTGTTTATTTGCAATGTTATTAGCAGCACGAGAATTTCTATGCCGACACAAAGTAAAGCGATTATGAAGTGATATGTACATCTGGCGATCAGTGCCCACTGGCCAAACACACGCCGTTTCTTTGTTTGTGTCGCTTCTGAGTTTCTGTATATTTCTCTGTGTGTGTGTATTGCTGAAAACGTCTGTATTTTCTTTGTTTATCCGCAGACCATTCGATCTGTTGCAAGGCAATTAATGCATTTGCTTTCTGGCTGGTTGAGCGAAATTGCAAACGCTTTTGGCACTACAGATAATTATTTAGAATTTTAACGAGTTAACGGTAATAAGTTAACGATTATATTTAGTTAATAAGTTTGCTTTATGGTTAAGAGAAACTGTTCGAGTGCTAGTTATTTGATTTTCAAACAACATTTTTGCCTGTGTCATGCAAATGAAAGATTTCTATGTCTTTCAAGACGTTTCCAAATGCTTGATGATATTTTTGATAATATTTTAGTTGTCTAAAATATGCTCGGAATATTGCCTTGTTATAGGTCAGCATATTGCATTATAGAGGTAGAGCGACTAGACGAAATGGATATTCCGGAAGCTTTGAAAAGCTTTCACTAGTAAAAAAAAAGCTAGCGAGCTTTCATAAAAATAAATAATTTAAAATAACTAGATGATTTCCTTACTTCTCCCATTATTCCTGCTATAAAAATGTTCATTAAGTAGTGGAACGAATACTCCCGAAGCTTTGAAGAGCTTTCACAGACGATTTTCTTACTACGCTCGTTATTCTCGTTATAAAAAAAATAAGAAAAAAGAAAAGTTTGTGATCCTTCGCTAAATTTTATTTATGCGGCCGTTTTTAAACAGCTTTCGCCAAAATAAAACTTTTAACAAATCACTAGACGATTTTCTTACTTTCCTCGTTTTTCCGGTATAAAAATATTCATTAAGTATTGGAATGGATATTTCAGAAACTTTAAAAAGCTTTCACTTGTAAAAAAAAGCTGGCGAGCTTTCACAAAAATAAATAATTTAAAAGAACACTAGACGATTTCCTTATTATCTCGTTATTCCTGCTATAAAAATATTCATTAAGTACTGTAATGGATATTTTCCTGAAGCTTTGAAGAGCTTTCATCGACGGTTTTCTTACTTCGCTACTTATTCCCGCTATAAAAAACATTCATTAAGTACAGAAATGAATACTCCGAAAGCGTTGAAGCGCTTTCACAAGTAAAACGACTTATGTGCTTTTATTTGAATAAAACCTTTAACATATCACGGGATGGTTTTTTACTTTCCTCGTTGTTCCCGCTGCAAAAATATTTAATTAATTTAATATACTTTCCCGAAGCTTTGAAGAGCTTTCACAGACGTTTTTCTTACTTCTTACGTTTTTTTTCGCTATAAAAAACAGGTTGTAAGCTTTCGCTAAACCCTGCTTGTGCGTCCGTTTTTAATTAAAAATAAAACTTTTAACAAATCACTAAAGGAATTTCTTACTTTCTTCATTATTCCCGCTATAAAAATATTCAATTAGGTAATAGATTGGATTTCCCAGAAGCTGTATGTGCGTCCTTTATTGAAAAGCTTTCGCAAAACTATTCACTATCGGTAGACTGTTCTTGACGATTCTAAAAAAGCATTCACTTAAAAGAGGCTTATAAACTTCAATTGTGGTAAACAGCTTTTGRTTTTTATTCTATAAAGCTGCTACGTGGAAATTCGGAGAATCGATGATCCCATCTTTTGTAATCCTGTATCGCTCAAATAAACACCCTTTATGTGTGTTATAATTACACTTGCTAGTTTTGTTATAATTTGTTGTTGTTGTTGCATATTGTTACACATAATTGCTTTGCTGATACGAATATGCAAATTCCTCAGCATCAWTACGATGACTAATACCCGATTTTAAGCGCTTACATATATGGAAAAGCGAAATCCCCCTWGGGTGATCGCAGCTGTTGTGATTTAACTAACATATAGTATAAATTAGTATGTACTATGTATGTATGTATGTTTGTGGTAGAACTTATACTTTGACTGGAAATTAGTGCAAATTTAAAAGATTAAAGCTGCAACCACTTACGTTGGTGTTTGTTTACATTTGCGATAATTTAAGTGTTTATTTTGCACTTATCGTAATTTTCTATTGTTTTGATAAATAAAAAATAAATATAAGAAAACTAAAATATTTTCTAAAGACATTGATAAATTATCATCTATACAGACGTGAACTACATATGTATGTACATATGTATATGTAGTTCCTAATCCATTTCCAAAGTGCATTCCGTTTTGAAAAGTTTATTTTATGAATTTTTAATTTCATTTCTTTATTTTTTTCAAGATAGACGCACACATTCTATAGTTGTTTAAACATCAATTCATCTAACTTCCTCCTTTAAGCTACAAAAAAGTCAAATCATTTCATTAAAATCAAATTTCGTTTCACTAGAATTTAAATTAAGTGAGTAGTGCTCAGCTGATATTTACTGTTATGCTTCACAAAAGAGAAATTAGTATTCACTCATATTATATGAGTCAGTAATTCAAAAGACCGAAGCAGATTGAATTTGATTATTAATATTTTTTTTTGATATGCCATGGACATTAGGGTGGTGCATAAATATTGAAAATAAGCTTTTACATTCGTATTTGTAAATATTAATCCCTATAGTTTGTATATAGTAGTAGATGGTGGATATCATTGTCGAAGTTATCAAGAATACATTGGGACAAAAAGCAACCGGAAATTGTAATTACATTCCCCGGATAAATGATAAAAATTTACTTTGCTAAGTTGGTAAGACTGCCCTTAATTACTATACCAAATATGAGCGTGATATGTTAACCGGTTTGTTTACAGCAGCTGCTTAAGTCGTTACACCTCAGCAGTGCGTTGCAATTTTTACAATGGATGAAAACATCGAATAAAAAATTTCTTAAATTTTGTCTTTTTTTTAACCAAATTTCGTGTGCGAAATCGYTGCTGGAAAAGTCTTGTTGGAAAAGTCTTACAGTGATTCCGTTTTTATCAAAAACAAAAGYCTACAAGACGGTCGAAAGTTTGTTGAAGACATGCTGTTCTGGACGACTTTCGATCTCTTCAGCGGCGGAAAATATTAAAAAAGTGAGGGTAATGGTGGTTGAAAATTGTCTGTCAAGTGTTAGAGAGATGACAAGAGAGCTCGACAGTCAGTAAGGAGCTCTGTTTSACCGTATTGAGGCGTTTGCGTGCGAACATCTGTCGAAAACGGCAGGAATTGTGGAAGAACAATGGATTTCCCACGATGATAATGAACCATCGCATCGCGCCACGATTATGACCGAGTTTAAGGGGGGAGCCTGGTTTAGAGGCTTCAAAAAATCGGTTTTTTTATAAGGATTTTTTTGGGAAGGAAAGAAATAAGTGATTAAAGGAAAATTTCTAGGGTTTATAGTTATATATTTAAACATCATTCACAAATTTTTTGGATACGAAATCTTTAATATTCCGCCTTTGGGAATCGACTGCATCTCGCATGTGCATTTGTCGGACGGCAGGCAACCAAAAATTCAAAGAGATTCATATTTTTTAATAATTTATCTCCTACTTAAACAAAAAAAAAATCCAAAAAAAAAAGGTAAAGTTTTAGAAATTTTTTTAAAATTTAAAAAAAGTGGCTTTTGACCAAAAACATATTTACTTTATGTTGTTTGAAAATATGTTCAAACTTCACTTTTCTTAGTTTTTTTTTTTAGTTTAAATAGAAGATAATTTTTTGCCAAAGGTAATAAACTT